CAGCTCTTACTTCCTGGGCTATCGCCGGTGAATAGGTATAGCATCACAGCACGCATTTTCAGGAAGAAACTGCAATCGCTGATGAACTTCATGGTGAAACACGAGGTGTTTGGGTCTGTGAGCTGCTGGCAAAAGATGGGCACTGCCCCACGCCCATGCCTGGATCTGGCTCTACAATAAGATCACTTCCAACGAAATCGCCGATGAAATGTGCACTGAATTATCTGACGCCGACGTCGACAATGATTTGTACGCAGTCGCGGCGATGAAAACGATCAGGGAAAGACGTCCGCAAATTGACAACCGTACGAATGCGAATCGGTGATGTACAAGTCAATAACCGCTGGGTTGTTTCATATTAGCCTTTGCTTTTAAAAGCAAACGAAGCTCACATAAACGTGAAAAACCGCAATTCCGGGAAATGAATTAGGTACATTTGTAAGTACGTGAATAAAGGCAGCGACATGGCCGTTTTCGGTCTGGAACACGAAAGGAGGGGGAGGGATGTGGACATACAACTCGATGAAATCGCGCAGGACAGTTAGAGAATGAGCAATGCGTTTACTTTACAGCTGCAAATGTGCAACAGGTTGCCTTAGATCTACCGGGAACAACATTAACTGCGTTCTTCACGTTAAGCCAAAATGACGCGTTTGCAAAAGCACTGCCGCATTCGGAAGTGCCTAAGTATTACACAGGGAATGCGTGTAGAAGGCACCTTCCGTCGAATACGCAAGGACAAATCAAATGATGATTTCACAGTAGAAAATCTACAACGAGGTGTTAATAATGATTGAGGATGTATACGTAGAAATCACGAAAACAGTTCTCAATCAATTGGGAAAGCCATCACCAAAAGCGATCTGCTGCTACTTCGTTAGGCGTAGATTTGCGGCGTGAGCAAACCTACCACAGGGTTGATCTTCTGTCGTATCTGCAATCAAGCATTCCTAAGCTAACACTGGAGCAGGATGGTATTTACGATCAAATAATGCGAACTGCCAATACGGGGTTGGAGGAATCTTTTTGGATGCGCCAGAAAGGGACTGGCAAAAACGTTCCTACTAGTACTGATTCTGGCAGCACTTCGGTCCAAAATTGACATAGCCTTAGCTCTTCTGTCGTCCGGAATAGCTGCGAACTTGCTACCCGGTGGAAGAACTGTTCATTCAACTTTACAATCGTCGCTGAACACGCAATTCATTGGAACTCCACGTGCGACATTTCCAAGACATCCGGCATGGGAAAACTACTGCAGAAATGCAAACTTATTGTTTGGGATGAATGCATAATAGCACACAAAAGTGCAGGAGATCCTTGACCGATCATTGCAATATTTGCATGGAAACAGGAGACCATTTAGACACGCATTGCTACTGTTTGCAGGAGACTCGGGCAAACACTGCCTGTAGTTCCTCGATCGACTCCAACCGACGAAATAAATGCTCGCCTGAAATACTCTTCGTTGTGGCGCCACCTCCAGACGTTAAAATTAACTACGGATATGCGTGTCCAGCTGCCAAACGACTGAACAGCTGAGATATTCTCACACCAATTGCCGGCAATGGGGAACGGATCGCTGCCGGTTGATCCGACTTCAGGACGCATTTCACTACCTCCTACCTTCGGAAATTTAGTGTCGTTAGGAGAAAACTTGATTGAAAAGGGTTTTTCCAATATTCAAACCCATTATACGATTCACGATTGCCTGGGCGAACGAGCTATTCTTGCGGCCAAGAGCCAAGAAGTCTACCTACTTAACCATACTATTCAGTCTAAGGTACAAAGCGGGGCAGTTCCCATTCACCTCCGTCGACACTGTTGTGGAACCAGGCGAGGTAGTTAATTGTCACACAGAAATTTTGAATTCACTTAATCTGCCAGGGAAGATGGCGCGGTTACTGTGATTGAAAATCGGTGTGCCGGTTATAATGCTGCGAGAAATCAACCAGCCGAAGCTTGCCAACGGCACGTGGCTTGCAGTAACCCCATTAGTGAACAACGTACGGGGATCCAATATCTCGACAGGACCTTTTAAAGGAGAGAATATCCTTATTCCTTGCATTCCACTGATTCCAACTGACATGCCATTTAGATTTAGGATACTGCATTTCCCCATTCGACTGGCGTTTGCATTCACGATTAGCAAAGCACAGGGCCAGTCCTTAGAATTGTGCGGTTTTGGATCTGCAAACGAACTGTTCTCACATAGTCAATTATACGTTGCGTGTTCCTGAGTCCGCAAACTAGACAATATTTGTGTCTGCGCAGACAACGCAACGATAACAATATCTTATATCCACAACCATTATGCACTTAAGCATATAAGAAACGTGTCCCCTTCCTCTTTTCTTTCTATTACACTTCATCAGACTGAGCCACAGCAACGCGTGGCGGGGTCCGGCTAGTTATTGATAAACTTGGTTCCTTAGTCTTATCTAAGCATGCGTACATCTCGAAATAGCCATCTTATTCAAGTATATTAAAAGTGTATTTTTCGGTAATCGCCTACTTGACATTAATTTTCGCCAAATCCATTTTAAAGCCAAGACCTCGTCAACTGCAAAAAAAATTTACAAAATATTTAACATGTAATATTTACACCGAATATGCGCAATTAGGGTGGTCTTACTTATCTTAAGTGTTTGACTAACGCTTAAAGAAACAGCATTACAAATGCGCGCAGAACGCTGATGCTCACCTAACAGTTCTCTCACACCACCATAGAAAAGGTACAATCCCGTTTCTGCCACTGTCTATGATGATGGGTTCAAGTGAGAATCCGAAACGTCAGACGAAAAAAGCTTTTGTTCCAGCGATCGCCTCATCTTCTTCTTCTTCTTCTTCTTTTTCTTTTTCTTCTTTTTCTTCTTCTTCTTCTTCTTCTTCTTTTTCTTCTTCTCCTCCTTCTTCTTCTTTTTCTTCTTCGTCTTCCTCTTCTTCTTCTTCTTCTTCTTCTTCTCCTCCTTCGTCTTCTTCTTCTTCTCCTCCTCCTCCTCCTCCTCCTCCTCCTCCTCCTCCTCCTTCTTCTTCTTCTTCTTCTTCTTCTTCTTCTTCTTCTTCTTCTCCTCCTTCTTCTTCTTCTTCTTCTCCTCCTCCTCCTCCTCCTCCTCCTCCTCCTCCTTCTTCTTCTTCTTCTTCTTCTTCTTCTTCTTGACCTCCTCCTCCTCGTCCTCGTCCTCCTCCTCCTCCTCCTCCTCCTCCTCCTTCTTCTTCTTCTTCTTCTTTTCCTTCCTCTTCTTCTTCTTCCTCTTCTTCTTCCTATCAACTAGTTTCTGGAAGTCGACTCTTCGCTTGAATCGAAAAATGTGCAATCATTATGTAGTCAGAGTTTTGAACACCAGACATTGGTTCTTACCAGTCACAAATCATTTGGAAAGACGTTTTTCTATTACATCGGAATGTAAACACATGCAATGAGCATTCAGTGGTCGTCATACTGTCATTTAGGACGTGTTTTCTATACCTTTAGGGGATGCAATATTTGCACAACTCCCCGATTGGTGTTCATGGACGTCTGAAATCCACCAACTGTGTCGTCGATGGACGATGGGTATTAAAGATATCGGACTATGGGATTCCGATGGTCCTCGCGCTTTTCAACCACAACTTGACCCCTAAAGCTGAGGGTATGTCTGGAAAATCACAGGTTCTCTATCAACATTTGTTGTATTTTCTCATATTAGACGGTATATCTAAGACCGCATCGCAGTGACGTAATCCGTAAAGTCAAAACCAATCGTTCTTTAGTACTTGGTGTTTACTTCTGAAAAACGGATGCATTTCATCAGACAAAATCAATGCACTATAAACTCCACGATAAAAAGTGGACAACATATTTTATACATGCCGAATATCATCTCAAAAATTTGGCCTTACCACTTTGTCATCATCAAAAGCTAACGCAGGCCATAAAAATGGGCCAAATGGTCGATACATCATTGGTTGCTTAACTTGAAATACGGGAACTTAAAATATCGTGTTCGTAATACTAATCGGTAACAATCGGGAAATGGCACGCAAATATCCATTGCCTACTATATCTAATTGAGTAGGTTATGGCCCTACACTAGCACTAGCACTATCATTCCTGACCATTGCTTCCTGAGGTGCCGAGCAACCGCAGTTTTCTGTATCCGGTTCAGTCTACGGCAACATACCTTACAATATGTTGGCGTCCACATCTAAACATGCATATTTTAGGATAGTTGCGAAACAATGTCTGTGGACCAACCCTACCATTACTGACACTTACATCCGGATACTCAACTGCAGAGCGACCGCTATGGTGCGTATGCGACATAAACTAATCTAATAGACTACATGAGACTTGAGAATCAGGCTGCTGTGGTTGGACGGATTTTTTGGGTGCCATCTCCCGATTGTTACCTACTAATCGATTAAGAGAGCTCATTCACGAAGGTCAACCCCGAAAAAAAGACCTGACTAAACTGTTTTCATAACCTGCTTTGCCTTTTCGAGTACTGGTCTGATAAACTGGTCAAACGGATGTACGGATAATTTCTTTAGGCGCCTGATGAGAGGATCGAATCTCTTTGTAAGTTAAACCTTTTGTCATCCGATTTCTTCCAAGTAATTCTTTCTAAAAAATGAATTGCCCACCGACGATTTACGATTTAAAGTACAACACCGAGAGGTCATATTGTTTTGTTCGCCTAGGTAGAAATTAGCCTTCCAATAACCATTGCAGTTGTAATTTTACGACTGGGTGGAATATTTAATGCGGTCTAGACGCAATTCCGCACTCTATTCGTCATTTTTTCGAGGCTTATAAACAAATCTATTTGGGTGGCAAATATTTAAATAGATGTGATGCACCACTCCAACCATTTTGGAGACCGGTAGGAAAATACGCGACACTTGATCTTTTGTTTTGAACAATCATATCAACCCCTTCGAGCCTTGTTTCTGGACACGCCTTCCCGTTTAACCGTGTGCGACACCCCACATCCCGCCGGGCGTTCGCTGGAACGAAAACAGTCTTGCCCCTCAGCATCACTCCCGTCCGTTGGACAGCAACTTCCGCTCGTTGGGTCGGGATTAGAATGAAATAGAAATACTAACTTCAGGTGGGTGTCAGTTCGCTTTTATCCCAGACACAGAGGCTCATAGAACGACCGACAATCTATATATATAAAAATGGAAGGTTTTTTTTCTGTGTTATATCTAATCTCCGAAAGTACTGCACCGATTGCGCTGAAATTTGGACACAACCCGACCCGCGCATAGGGCCGGGTTTTTGGCTGGTCAGTTGTGTAATCATGCCTATGGTACGCCTGTGATGGGTAA